AAAAAAAAAACAGAACACCCCTGCATCCTCAGAAAAACCCATGACAATACCCGAACCCGTTCCCGACCGGTCCGCCAAGCCCGAGCCTACTAACCCCTTGACCCGGTTTGCTCTCATACTGATCAAAAATCCCACCGGGCCCATAAATTGGGCCGGTTGGCCCAGCTGCCATCCTGGCGGCCTGACTGGCCACATTCCTCTTCAGCTCCTCCATTGCATCCCTGAGCTGCTCGAGCTCGTCCAGGCCCAATTTGTCGATCGAGCCCTCCCACCAATAGTGGCTCTGGCCAGTCTTACGCATCCCGTCTAACTCCTCCCCTCTTTTCCTCTCGGCCTCTAGCTCGTTCAGGATCTGGCCCAGTTGCAAGTTCAGCTCACGAACGCTCGCGTTCCTATGGGCCTCCACTAGGTGGAATGGGCCCGGGCCACTCGGGCCATGGGCAGGGCCTCGGGTCAAGAACCGGTCGACTATGGACTCGACGTTCGGGTGACCGAATGAGAAGACCTTGCCGGCCGGAGAAAAGACTATGATGGCAATCTCGACACCGCAAAGCGTGCAGAGCTCGCTAGCCTTCTTGAAGAGGCCCGAACGACGCTTGGAGAAAGTGACTTGGAGATGGTTTTTCACCTCGATTTTCTCGATCTTGATCTTTTGGCGGCCCATGCTTGGTTTCTTGGCCATGGCTAGTTTTTTTTTTTTTTTTTTTTTTTTTTTTTTTTTTTTTTTCTAAGATGTTTTGCTAGTTTTTGTTTTGTGTGTGTGTGTTGGGATTAAAGAGAACATGCATGATAATTTATAGAAGGTGTTGAGGACATGAAATTCATGTGTTTGGGTTTTGAGAAATCGGATTTGGGAGTTAGAAAATCCTTTTATTGAATGTTAAGGATTTTGTTAAATGTCAAACGTTTTGTATATAGTGACGATATAATTGGTAGATTGTTTTAACAAATTTGTCAACCTACTTAATTGCTTGTGAGTTGTAGTGAATTTAATTGGTAGTTAAGTAAAGAAAATTGTATTTAATTGGTAGGTAATGAAGAAAATGTAACGAGGAAAAGTCAATTTTGTGAGTTGGTTCGATGCTAGGCAAATATTTTGTAACAAATATGTTTCTCTTTAGATTACAAAATAGACAGAGTTTTGCATATTTATAGCTTACATTGAACCTAAAATCCGTAAATTTAACATACAATCCGTAATTATTATTGAGTTTGATTTGCTAGTAACAATTGATATTGACTAATATTGTGAATAACTACAATGTCTAGCAGAATGTATTATTGGACTAGCCTATTTTACTAGATTTCAAAGTTGCGACTATTAAATTTAAATAGCATAATTTATATTATTAGTAGCAGAGTATAGTGTTATTTTGGATTATTAATGCTAGAAGACAATGAAACTTGGTGTCACAATTGATTGAACTAGTCAAGGGAGAGCATAAATTGAACCGTGAAATAAAAAATTTTTCTCATATATAATTAGTCATTTTTTGTCTTTATTTGAATTTTTTTTTAATATGTTAGTTTAGTTTATTAAATCTCAAATTGTCCCATTTATCACTTTCATGATTTCAACTAATAAAAATAATTTAAATTTGATTACTACTTTTTGTGAGCTCTAATCCATACTTGGTGTTACTACTAGTTAGTAGAAGTTAAGAAGATCAAAATATTATAGTTTTAAATTTATCGAGTGGTTCTCAATATATGTGTTTTTACAAGTTTACGAAATTTGTCAATGGGGACAAAAAAAAAGTACATTTTTGTAGTAATTCACCTCAATTAAATATACACTACAACTTCTTAATAATTTTTTATTCTCTAGAAACTGATGCACACATCACTATATTATTAAGTATATCTCTAACCATATTATACAAGTAGCGCAAAATCAAGTGATCTTCCATTCGATTTGATTAACTGATACACATCACTACTAAATACATCTTTAACTTTATAAACAATAGAATAAAATCAATTGATCTTCCATTTGATTTGATGAGTGAATTCTTAAATAGTCTGAGGAACGTGAACAACTAGTATATAAAAACATCTAAAACCTTACTATTGTCAATAAATGATATAAAAAGACATAGAAAGGATTTGGTGTTGAATTTCATGAGAATAAAATGTAGTCTTTTTCAGATCTGTATTGTTCAATGATTGATGATGATGGACGGCTGCCCTACAATGCTATTTATATCTCAACTAAAGAATTCACTAACACATCAAAATACCCTAGCAATTCTATTGGATAAAAGAGAATCTCCTCTACACAGCAAATGGTTACTGTGCACGTGTCCTAAGGTAGCTGTCATTTTGTTTGGTTCCCCAACGTCCATAATCTTCATCTGATGGTTCTGCATGGTGTCAGTATGGAGATCATCCAACGGCTGTATTTGCATGGCAGCATGGTGAGTACTACAAGGCTTGATATGATCTGAACCGCACACTTCAATATCTGATCCAAGGGTGAGTAATGAAGCTGTGCATTGTGAATGGTTTCTAACACCTCCCCTCAATTCGAACTCAGGTTTAGGAAACACATTAAGCATGTTTCTTAACCTGGTGAAGAAGTGCATGCTTAAAGGCTTTGTAAAAACATCTGCCACCTGATCAATTGATGGTACATGAAGAACATGAAGCTGCTTGGATAAGACTTGCTGCCTGACAAAATGCAAATCAATTTCTCTATGCTTTGTCTGAGCATGTTGCACTGGATTGGAAGCTAATGCTATAGTGCTTAGATTATCTACCCATATGCATGCAGTTTTCTGAAGGCAAACTCCCAATTCTTTCATCAAGGACTGAAGCCACATGATTTTTGCAGTGGCATGAGCTAAACTCCTTTACTCTGATTCAGTGCTAGACCTTGAGACACCACTTTGCTTTTTGGATTTCTAAGATACTAGATTGTCTCCCAAGAACACACAAAAACCAGAGGTAGATTTCTTATCATCAACATCACTAGCCCAATCAGAATCAAAGAAACCAACAATATTGAGTTCTTTTGATTTGACAAGTTGCAGGCCATACTGAAGAGTACCACTGAGATACCTCAAGATCCTTTTAAGAGCTTTCCAATGAGTGTCTAAAGGATTAGACATGAATTGACTAACCTTATTGACACTATATGATATTTCTGGTCGAGTGATGGTAGCATATTGCAATCCCCCTACTAAACTTCTGTACACAGATGCATCAGTAATGGGACTGCCTTGATGTTTAGATAGATGTTCTGAGGTGATCATAGGAGTGTCTGTTCCTTTAGCCTATAACATGTTTGCTCTTTGAAGCAGCTCTTTGATGTAGCTCCCTTAATTCAAATGCAGACCAGAAGAAATATGAGTTACTTCTATGCCAAGGAAATGGTGAATAGCACCCAAGTCCTTTAGGGAGAAAACTTTGGACAGCTCAGTGATGACTTTCTCAATGCTTTGCTTTGAACTTCCTGTTATGATAATGTCATCAACATAGACTAGAAGAAGAACCTGAGAATCAGAATCTGTTTTGATGAAAAGAGATGTGTCAGATTTGGTATCATTAAAACCAATCTTCATAAGAGCCTCTCTCATTGTATTGAACCAAGCTCTTGAAGCTTGTTTAAGGCCATAGAGTGCGTTGGAAAGCTTGCATACAAGAGTATGAGTATTGTTCTCTTCCTCAAAACCAACCGGTTGCTTCATGTAGATATCCTCTTGAAGGGTGCCATGAAGAAAAGCATTATTGATGTCAAGATGCCTGATGTCCCAGCCATTGTTAATAGCCAAAGATAGAACCACTCTTATAGTGACAGGTTTAACAACAGGACTAAAAGTCTCTGAAAAATCCATACCAGCAGATTGTGAAAAACCTTGAGCAACAAGTCTTGCTTTGTGTCTAGAAACCTGTCCATTGGCATCCTTTTTAACCTTAAATACGCATCTGCAGGCAACAAGATTTTTACCAGGAGGCAATGGAGTTAAAGTCCATGTTTTATTAGCAATAAGAGCATTATACTCTTCTGTCATAGCAGCTTTCCAAATAGGAGAAGATAGAGCTTCATGAACATTGACAGGTTCTCTATCACAATCTGTAGAGATAGCATAAAGTTTTGGTTTTCTGATCCCTGCCTTTAACCTGGTAATCATGTGATGCTTAGGATGTTGTTGTTCCTCATGAGGTGCTGAAGCTTCTGGTGTAGTGTGAGTAGAGCTCATGTGTGGTAACTGAACAAAAATAGGTGCAGTGGAATAGCTTGATGGTGAGAGGCTGTGAGATGAAGGAGCTGAAGTATGATTATTGGGAGTTTGAGTAGAATGAGATGGTGTATTTTGAGGTTGTTGATGTGGAGATGAACTGTGATGATGTGAATGAGGTGGAACAACAGAAACAATAGGTGGTGGTGAAGTACACCAATGACTTGAACTCATAGGTTGAGAGTGTACAAGGTCAAGGGGTTTAGTGTATATGGTTTCTGAATTTGCATAGGGCAATCTGTGAATTTTAGACATAGCACAAGGGGAACAAACATGAGCATTCTTTTTCATTTCAAGGGAATTTTACAATTCTTCAATGCTCTCATTACAATGTTATAACTAGAATGTCCTAATCTATGATGCCAAAGATCAAGACTAGCACTATTCTTTAGGGAAACAGATAAAACAACTACATTACAACTAGAATTTTCAAACTTCTTAAAGGATTGGACTTGAAATCTCTTATTTCTGAAAGGTTGAAGCTTGAACTGATAGAGACCTTCCCTAAGAACTCCCTTGAGTAAAGTGTCCTGTGTTACTTGGTCCTTAACAAGACAAAACAAAGGGTGGAATTCAAATAAACATTATTATAAGAAGCAAACTGTGACACATCAATGAGATTCTTGGTCACTGAAGGAATATGGAGGAGATTTTTAAGAATAAAAGCTTTGGACTGAGGAGATTTGAGAAGGGTATTACCATAATGAGCTATACTCTCACCTGTACCATTAGCCATTTGCACCTTGTTACTGCCATAGTATTTTGTGGGATTGGTGATGTTGTTGAGATCATTAGACACATGGTTTGAAGCCCCAGTGTCTGGGTACTAATTCATTTTTGAAGTTGAATCTTGCACTGAAGAACAAGAGCTAGGAGCTTGCATGGTGTTAATGAATGGATTTCTGATGAATGTCCCTTGTGAGTTGTGGTTGTTGTGAGAGTTAGCATTTTGGGGAGTGAAACTCTGATCAAAACGGTGCCAGCATCTATCTGCTGTGTGTCCTGCAACTTGACACACTTGGCAAATGGGTCTATTGGAGCCAAATCTTCCTCTGCCACCTCTTCCTCTATTGTCTCTTCCACCTCTTCCTCTAGGTGTTGTGTTAAAATCTCTGTTGTTGCTGAAGTTATATTTTCCTTGAGGTGGTTGACTGACTGCATTCAGAGTAGGCTGTGTTCCTTCATTGTTGAAGGACATGGATTGAGTAGACTCAAGCCTTGATTCAAAACTGAGCAAAAGAGCTTCTACATCAGCCTTTGTGAAAGATTCTGGCCTAGAGGTGACATTTACCATTACTGGGTTGTAATCTGACCCAAGGCCTGAGAGGATATGCAGGATCTGGTCTGTGGAGGAGATTATACTTCCTGTTGAGGCAAGGATATCAAAGCAATACTTCATTTTGTTTAGATATTCTCTCATAGATAAGCTGCCTTTCTTGAG